CCCCCCAATCAGAGGCACCAACAGCTGAAGCTGGTAAAAGTCAGCATCTCTTTATTGGCCAACATGGGATGGAGGGGCGGGGCTCCCCGCGCCCTGACCCACCAATCATCTTTGGACAAAAATAAAGGGGCGGGGCCAGGGCCCCTGAGCATCTGGTACAAAAGAGGGTTGGGGGGCGGGCCAGGGACCCGCTGGGATCAGGTACTGAGGCCGGGGGAGCCCCCCCACCTGAAAGCCAGCCCCTGCCTGTCCTCTCAAAGGAGGGGTCAGTTCCCCCCCCCAAAATTAGGGTGTCAGTTGGGGGGGGTATAATTCTCTCCTGGAGGCTGACAGCAGAGGCCCCCCCATGGGGGGTTCTGGGGAAGCTGCCCCCCCTTTCCAGGGGGAACAGCCCATGTGCAAACAGAGGGCCTTACAAAAAATCTATTAAGACACTTGAGGGAGGGGGGGCAACTTCCCCTGTAGTGTGTGGAGGGTGCTCCCCTCTCAGTAGCTGTAGTGCTGGGGGACCGGAGGGGCTCCCCGCCACATCTGCTGCTGGGGGGGGGGATGGAGTGTGGCGGGGGGGACACAGGGCTCCCCCCCCATCATCTCCCTGCAACCCTCGTGATCCTGTAGCATGAGTAGCCCACTAATAGCCCCCCACAGCTTAGACGCGGTGGCGGGTAGTTCCACCGGCTCATGGTGCCCCAGAGAGCCCTGTTGGGGGGGGATCCCCCCTGCCCTGCCGTTGGGGGGTGTAGTGTCCAAGGGAGGGGGCGCTGTCGGGGCCCCTCCCCCGGCTGGGGGGGTGTGTCAATACTTCCGCTGCAGTTTCTGGAGGTCCCCGGTGTTGAGGCGGGGGCGGGGCAGGTCCCCGAACATCTCGGTGCCGTCAGAGCCGCGCAGGGCCAGCGCCCGCATGCTGGCCGCGATCTTCTCCAGGTCGGGGGACGAGTGCTGGGGGGGCGGGGAGGGGGAGGGGTTAGCGCCGGGGGCACCAGCCAGGGACCCTAACACGCCCCTCACCCCCCCCCCCGCATCTCCCCCTGGGGCCGGATTCTCCCCCCCAACCGCCAAGACCTCTGTTCTCCGAGACAGACCCCACACACACACCCCCGCTAAGACACCAATTGGGGACAGTGTCCCCCGTCCCCGCGCCGGGCCCCCCACCTTGGCGTTCTCCTCGTCGGACGAGCGCTGCTCGGGCCCTGGCTGCCGGAAGGCCCAGACGGGCACGGAGACGGGCAGTGACTTGGCATACTGGTGGTTGGGGGGGGCGGGCGGTGGCAGGACAGGCGCCTCCTCGCTCAGGCTGCCGTCTGGGGAGGGAAGAAAGTTAAGAGGGGGACCCCAGACAGCACAACTGCCCCCCCCCTCACTGGCAGGCTCCCCCCGCCAGCCATCAGGTCAGGCTCCCAGTGCAATGGGGTGAGATGGGGGTGGGGTTTTAGTCGCCTTGTGATGCTGCACGTGGCCTGTGCGTGCCTCAGTTTCCCTGGGTGCTGCACCGATGCTAGGGGATGGGAATTGGGGGTGGGACTTTCGCTGAGGCCCTGGGGGCAGGTGAGGCCGAGACCCAGGAAGGGGGTGTGACCAGGTGACTCTGGGCCCCGGAAGCGAGACAAAGACCAGGAGGAGCCAGGGGCAGGTGTCAGGGCGTCTGGGGGGGGCGGGGGGTCGTCAGGATTCCCAAGCTGGCCTTGGCTGAAGGTCACTGATTTCTGTGCTAACAAGCTCTGCCCTACGCTGTGATCCTGCCGGCTAATAAACCTTCTATGTTCCCGGCCGGCTGAGAGTCTCGTCTGCCTGCGGAGTTGGGGGGCAGGGCCCTCTGGCTGCCCCAGGAGCCCCCCGGGCGGACTCGCTGGGGGAGGCGCATGGGGGGACGGGGATGCTGAATGCTCCGGGCTCAGCCCCAGGACGGTGGAAGCTGTGGCAGCGTCTTGCCCGGGGACAGTTTGCTCCGAGAGAGGAGGCTCCCGCCGAGTCCTGGCTGGCTTTCTACGGACATCGGCCGGTGACTCCATGGCACACTCCCCCCTACCCCCCCAACCTACCGTCAGTGCTCTCTGGGTCCGAATCGAAGAAGGGCTCGTAGTCCTGGCTGGGAGAGTCCTCATCCATCACAAAGAGACCTGGGGAGCCGCAGAAGGGCCCATGAGGAGATGCCACCACCTCTGGGGTGGGGGGCTGGGTATCCGGGGACCCCTTGCCCGGCGCAGGGAAGTGGCCCTCTCCGGGGTGGGGCGCAGGGGCTGGGTGGACAGGTCCCCTTGCCTGGTGCTGAGATGCAGCCCCTCTGGGGTGGGGGGCTAGGTATATGGGGACCCCTTGCCTAGCACTGAGATGCATCCCCTCTGGGGTGGGGCGCACAGATCCCTCCGCCTGGCACCGAGATGCGTCCCCTCTGGGGTGGGGCGCACAGATCCCTCCGCCTGGCACCGAGATGCGTCCCCTCTGGGGTGGGGCGCACAGATCCCTCCGCCTGGCACCGAGATGCGTCCCCTCTGGGGTGGGACGTGGGTAGAGAGACACCTCACCCCCCGGCGGGGGCACGGACTCACCTGTGGTGTCGCTGGGGGGCTGCTGCTTCCCGGGTGCCTCCATCTCCCTGGGCGCCGGCATGTTTTTCTCCTCTTCCTCCTCCTCTTCCTCCTGCCCCCCCCACGGCCTCGGCCGGGGCTCCCTGGGCACCCGCTGTCCAGTGGGGGCTGGCGGGCGGGTCCTGCGGGGGGCAGCTGCGGGAGTAGGGGCTGGGGGGAGGCCGGGGGGCGGGTGGGGGCCGGGCGGCGTAGGTAAAAGCCGTGGTCTTGTGGACCACGGCGATGTCCTCCAGGTAGCGGCGGGCGGCGTCGCCCAGGGCCCCGCAGCCGTGCTGGGTGTAGGCGAAGCCGCCCGGCTGCGGGGCCCGGTACGCCGTGATCAGAACCACCTCGTTCCCCGTCCGGCGCCGGTACCGCTCGGCCTCCGCCACCAGCCCCGCCCAGCTCTCCCGGTGGTTGTCGGCCATGCCCGTCATCCTGGCCTGGAGGAGACACGGGGTGAGCGCCAGGACGCCTGGGTTCTCTCCCTGCTCGGAGTGGGGGGTATGGGGGGGGGGCAGAGCCCGGACACCTGGGTTCTCTCCTTGCCCGTAGTGGGGGGCATCGGGGGAGCGGGGGGCAGAGCCCGGACACCTGGGTTCTCTCCCTGCCCGGAGTGGGGGGGGGCAGAGGCCGGACACCTGGGTTCTCTCCTTGCCCGGAGTGGGGGGCAGTTGGGGGGGGGCAGAGGCCGGACACCTGGGTTCTCTCCCTGCCAGTGGGGGGGGTATCGGGGGGGGGGCAGAGGCCGGACACCTGGGTTCCTCTCCCTGCCAGTGGGGGGTTTCGGGGGGGTCCGGACGCCTGGGTTCCCGAGGGCCCCGTTACCTGCCCCCGCCGCCTCCCTCTGTCCGTCCCAGCCCCCGGGGTCACTGCGCGGCCCACGGCGGCGTCACCCTCTGACCCCTGACCTTTCACCCCGCTTTATAACCCCCGGGAGCGGCTCCGCCCCGCCCCCCGCCCTGCACAAGCATGGCGGCCCCAGCAGCGCCCCGCACAAACATGGCGGCGGCTTTGTTGCCCCGCACAAACATGGCGGCCGCGACCAACCCTCTCCCCCCTTCCCCGCTAATCCCCTCCTTTCCCACCCCGCACCGCCGGGGAGACCAAGGCAAACATGGCGGCGGCCTTTTGCCCCGCACAAAGATGGCAGCCCCCCGCCACGCAGAGACATGGCGTCACCCTCACGCACGTGGGGACGGCCAGCAAGCGCGCCCCGCACAAAGATGGCGGCCGATCCTCGCTTTTCCCTGGCCCCGCCCATTGCGTGGGGCGGAAGTGACGGAATGTTGTTTCCGGAAGTGGTGGTCTGCGGAGGATGGAGTCGGAGGGCTGCAGGGTGAGCGGCGGGCCGGGGCCGGCGAAGGGAGGGGTCCCCGGGCCGGGGGGACGGGCAGGCGGGGGGGAGGGGTCCCCGGGCTGGGGGGCGGGGCTGGGGGGGAA